ATTTTCCTGTTAGACCAAATAGGGAAGAATATGGAGTATGTGTCTTCTAAATAAATAAATAAATAAATAGATTTAAAACCCCAAGTGGGCCCATTTACCTTTCAAATTCAACAGATTCTTGGCCGTCTGTTGCTCATAACATTGATTTTCATTCCTCTTGTCATTATACCTGCTAAGGTCAGTTCATATTAATGTCAGAGATCATGCACAGAGAATAAAAAATGTGTCTGTATTTCAGCTACTGAGGCTCTGGAGGAAGGAATACGATATGAAACCAGCAGATACCTGAATTCACTTAAAGAAACTCCATCTTTTCTGTGCTTCATGGGTAGCCTTCTGTTTCTATGTTTCCAGAAGAATTAATGACTGAATCAGGGCAGAATGGGACAGTGGGTGTTTATTTTGAAGGTAAATATACTATTATGTGTCTTGTGGTCCAAGGATCAGTATGCACGTATACCATGACTGGGGATGTCTGTGATGTACTGTGACAAGGAGCAACATGACATGCTGATTGATCTGTGAGCCCAGTGGAGAAGCCAGACAATACCAGTAAAACATTTCACAAAGTGTTCATTTCTGTCAGTTTAGCTGACACGCCACTGATGTGTGTTGGAGAGCTAATATCATTAGCCAAACTATACTGAGGCATCTGTACATCAGCATCTTGCTCACTGGAAAAGGGGAAACATAGCCCTCATTTTAAAAAAGGAAATAAAGAGGACCTGGAGAACTACAAGCCAGTCAGTCCCACCTCTGTGCCTGGCAAGATCATGGCGTGGATCCTCCTGGAAACTACGATAGGGCACATGGAAAATAAGCAGGTGATTGGTGACAGCCAACATGGCTTCACTAAGGTTAAACTGTGCCTGACAAATCTGGTGGCCTTCTACAGCGGGGTTACAGCGTTGATAGATAGGGGAAGAGGTTCACCCACGTAAACCTCACGAAGATCAACAAGGCCAAGGGCAAGGTCCTGCACATGGGTCAGGGCAACCCCAAGCACAAATCCAGGCTGGGCCATGAGTGGATTGAGAGCAGCCCTGCAGAGAAGGACCTGGGGGTGCCGGTGGATGGAAAATTGACCGTGACCCAGCAATGTGTGCTCACAGCCCAGAACCCACCCGTGCCCTGGGCTGCAGCCAGAGCAGGGGGGGCAGCAGGGCCAGGGAGGGGATTCTCCCCCTCTGCTCCGCTCTGGGGAGACCCCCCTGCAGTGCTGGGGCCAGCTCGGGGGCCCCCAACAGCAGAAGGACCCGGAGCTGCTCGAGCGGGGCCAGAGGAGGCCACGGAGATGCTGGGGGGGCTGGAGCAGCTCCCCTGGGGGGCCGGGCTGAGAGAGTTGGGGGGGGTCAGCCTGGAGAAGAGAAGGCTCCGGGGAGCCCTTCGAGCGGCCCCCCAGGGCTTAAAGGGGGGGATGGGAAAGGTGGGGGGGGGGACTCTGGATCAGGGGGTGAGGGTAGGATGAGGAGGAACAGTTTTAAACTGACAGAGGGCAGATTTAGGTGAGATCTAAGGCAGAAATCCTTCCCTGTGCGGGGGGTGAGGCGCTGGCCCAGGGTGCCCAGAGCAGCTGTGGCTGCCCCCTCCCTGGAAGGGTTCAAGGCCAGGTTGGACGGGGCTTTGACCAACCTGGTCTAGTGGAAGGTGTCCCCGCTCACTGCAGGGGGGTTGTAACTTGTGGTTTGAACCTGGCCAGCAGCCAAACACCATGCAACCGCTTGTTCAACCTCCCCCAACGCGGGGAATGCGGGGAGGGAATTGGAGGGGTAAAGGGAAACTCATAGACTGAGATAAAAAATTATTTAGAATGGTAATAAGATAGAAGAAACAAGCAAACAAACAAAAATGTACAAATGTGTAATGCACAATGTGATTGATCACCACCCACCGACTGATACACAGTCCGTTCCCCGGTAGTGATCCCAAAATACCAAGATCCCACAATTGCAATTCCAGAAGAGAGAGAACCCCCTCATTCCTGGTTGACCCTCCTTTATATACAGAGCATGGCATTACATGATATGGAATATTTCACTGCCCAGTTTGGGTCCGGTGCTCTGGCCGTGCTCCCTCCCAGCTCCTTGCGCACCAACGCATGGGCAGGATACGGGGAGGTGGAGAGTCCTTGACCTCTTAGCAATAACTGAAAATATCAGTGTATTGTCAGCATTCTTCTCATCCCAAACCCCATACTGAATCCAAAGCACAGCACTATTGTAGCTACTAAGAAGAAAAATTAACTCTATACCTGCCAAGACCAGGACAAACTAGATGATCTTTAAGGTCTATTCCAACCCAAAACACTCTATGATTCTATGATCTGCTACTTCCACAGACCCATCAGTGCCACCCATGGGTAAGATGGCATTTGGTTTATGTAGCTGATAAACCCATCAGTCATTTCTCAGCAATCACCAGTGGTTTCTCAGCAGTCTTGCAAAGACAAATAAATGTGTTCACACAGTAGTAAGCTCTTATCCTTGCACATTAAACATGTGCTGACCTGTTTTACTTTAATATCTGAATGTCAAGCTTCTCTTCCTCAATCACTGGTTTATGCAGTGGAGATGACACTGCACAGTTTTCATATGTAATAGCCATATTTATCCCCTTTTTCCTCCACTTGTCTCTGTGGACCAACCTATCAACAATTTCCTGAAATTCAGCTATTTCTCTTCTCAATATGAAATGAAACCTGATACATAATAACATAGGAAATGAAATTATACATAATGTTGTAGGAATGAAAACAGCAGAAAACCAAGACAAATCTAGCAGCAATAAGCAATGCATCTACCTTAATTAAACCCTCCCTTACGTTTTCTTCTTTATTGGGATTGATTTATTTAGGAACTAATTCTGGTTTCAAAAAATCCACCAAAAAATCTCTCACTGACTGCCAAAGCAGAATCTAGCCCACTAGTTTTCTATCTGTTCTCTTTCATACTACCTAAAAATGAATCTAGTCATATATACCAGCAGAAGAACAAAACATGAGATTGCATGATGTTCACAGTGGATGAAAGCACTCCATCTCTCTAATAACAACATGCTTTAGAGGAAGTACATAAAAAAAACACCCTTGCAGCAGCTTTTCTGGGCTAAAATAACAGGAGTTTTCACTCCCGGATTCAAATTCCCCTGGTGACTGGTCTCCCTATATTTCCATAAAAACACCCTGAGTCATCAAATTCAGACCAAGAAACTGACTGTGAGCATGGAATTCAAGATGACCTATTTTTCCCTGGTTACATTTTTGTCAAATAGCAGCTGGCTAACACATGGAGCCGTGGAGCTTTGACATCACTTTAAAACTTCAACTGTATTGTTTTTCATACTTACTTTCAGAATTGGATGTTATAATTTTCCCTCTAAAGCTCAAAATCCGTGAATGAAACTTGTTTGGGCAGACTCTCAAAAGGTAAAGGTACAAAAGTCTGTATCCTGAGTTGTCTGGCTGAGATAAAGATCAATAAAGTTCCCCTTGGACTATGAGCATCTTATGGCTGATAACTTTTAAGATAAGCTTCATTTGATGTGGAAAAGGTTGGGACAAACTGAATGTATTTAAGTGATGATTATGGACTTTCAAGACTCCTAGTGAGTTCACAAAACACTTTGTAGAAGCACAAAAGGCTGTCGTAAAGTCAGTAACTGGTTGAGGAAGGAAGGTATGACTACAGATGAACCTGTTGGAAAACCACTGTCAGCACCTTCACTGCATGTTGAGACTCAAGATACTACTGTCATACTACTGGGCCTCTGATCTTATCCTAAAAATATGGTTAGATGGTCACACCCATCTCCATCAGAGTTGGCTAAATCCAGAGCAACATCTAGGAAATGAAGTTCCTTCTCAAATGAGCTAAAATCTTCTCTTACCTTATTCTTTCCACACTTTCCATTTTCTGTTCTCCACCGAAAAGAAGGAAAGAGCAGAAAATGTTATTGTCCCTCAACAGCACTGCTGACTTACTCCTCTTTCCCCAGTACATCTCCAGGGGCCTGACAAAAGGAAGAGGCTGAGGGGAGAGGGGAACTTTACTAAATTTGGAGAGAAGGGCAGCTAAGATAAGAAAAGGATGAGCAAAATCACTGTGAGAGTCTGATGTGAAAAAGCAAGCAAGGGAAATACTAAATTTGTCATGAGCAGCTAAACATAGCACGAGAGAAAACCAGGCGTATTTTGGACAGAGAATATATTATTCATTGCAATAATCTTAGAAAATTTACTCAGCTTCAGCATAAATACCTGATCTGTGGCACAGTGGTATATACATTCAAAAGCAGGATGGTTGACTGCAGCCTCTTCCTCTGACCTGGATAAAAGGGCTTGTGTTGTACAGCTGGGCAACATGGCAGCTTTTCCAGACTTCAAGGGGATGTTAATTCAATCACTGTTGAATTCATTTCACTAACTTTTCTGCTGTGGGCATGATATGGCTATAAATACTACTTTTTCTAAGTCAATTAATTGGGGAATTCTTGAGGCCCAGTAAAGGAGTCACCGATATCACAAGTGGTTATGGAAAGGGTTAAGAGAGCTTCAGTAAAATGGCACAGGAATATGGGAATGAAACAGTAAAGAAAACTAGAAGAAAAATAGCCAAGCTGTGATCATTAATATTTTGAAACACCCTTTTGACAGGAGGAGAAAGGGAAGAGTAAATTAAATTTTTGGAGTAATATATAATTTCTGATAGAATGATTACAGGATCTGAATGAAACAACAATTTTCTTTTTTTGAGGGTAAAGGGAATGATAGTTTTGTTTCTAAACTTCAAAAGTAAATTGATCATCTTCTCTATCTAATGTTCAAGGTTAGTTTTTTTCAGCATTCCTGCCTCAGTCAGAACCAAAAGATCTAATTTCAAGAGTGTTTGAAGAGCTTTTAGAAATAGGAAATACCAGTATTGCCTCTGCTGTCAGAATATCACAGAACTGTTGTTATATTATTAAAACATATCACAGAATAAGCTAGAATTTTTGGAGCTTACCTTCCTACGATGGGATGGCACAATAAAATACGTTTCAATATTATGCTTCTTCAAGAAACTGTTCCTTTCATGACCATATCCTGGTTCTACCTCGTAATCCCCATTTAGGCACTCTAAGGTGGTCTTTGTAATGTGAACTTTCCTGAAGAGAAAAATTGGACATTGTTGTTTGAAGCAGACACATTATGAGCTAGTTGCTACTGAAATACATTCCTGTGCAGAATCATAAAAAGGTCAAGTTACATACAAAACCCCATTTTTGTTGTCAAAAAATTACTTTGTCTTTTCAGCTAAATAGAACATAGAATATTTCTACTACATGCATTTTCTAAACTTGAGCAGAATGAACAGAAAGAGAACTGCTGACTGTCCAAACACTGCAGATTTGTTGATTTGTACAAAGTGAAAGTCTGCACGTCATCTTCCACATTGTGTGGCTTTCTTAAGGGTTTACCTCACTGCCTGCTTGGAAAAACATCCTGCTATTTGAAACTTGGGAGTTCACACTCCGAATCTCTCCTGTGCATAAAGCAGAAACTTCTTTTCCTTTTCTTTCTTCTTTTTCTTTTCCTTTTTCTTTTTCTTTTCCTTTTCCTTTTCCTTTTCCTTTTCCTTTTCCTTTTCCTTTTCCTTTTCCTTTTCCTTTTTCTTTTTCTTTTTCTTTTTCTTTTTCTTTTTCTTTTTCTTTTTCTTTTTCTTTTTCTTTTTCTTTTTCTTTTTCTTTTTCTTTTTCTTTTTCTTTTTCTTTTTCTTTTCCTTTTTCTTTTCCTTTTTCTCTCACTTTTCCTTTTTATTCTTTTCTCTTTCACATTTCTGACTGTTTCATTTACTCTGTTTTGTACACAGTTTTCTAATTCACTTTATTTTGGTAACTCAACCATCTGTTGTTTTCCAATCCCGAAAACTGTCTTCACATTTTCTTCTGAAAGACCCTTTATATTTGAAATGTCTTCACGGAAGATATCTGAGAAGCTATTACTGCTTTCCTCTATTAAACATGTGTTCAGATTTTTTTTTGCTGGAAAGCCTTAAGGTAAGGAACATACAAAATACACTGTCAAAATTGTCTAAGGCAGATATATGTAACAAACAGAAATTCACTCATCTTAACCACAAAAATTAAGAGGTTCCATTGTCCCCCTGTTCAGCAAATCATGATCTTGTAAAAATCCAAGAGGATGGTAGGTTCCAGTCCAAATGTGAGTTGCAGACAGAAGTACACCTATGCACCTCTGAACAGTGCACAGTGTGTGTTTAAATTGGGCTCAAGGAGTACTTAAAAGTTCCAGGATGTGCCCCCTTGGTTGGCTGCAGGATTATGTACTACCATATCATATACATGCACATCATCAATATTTGAGTGCATAAATAAGGATTTCAAGATCCCTAAAAAAATCTAAAAAAAATTTACAGCACAGTACTAGTGTTGGAAATCTTGCCATGTAAAAGGAGTAAGGCACCCCCCCACACACATGTAGAGGTGCAAGGGTAAAAAATTATTGGAATAACTAGGGGGTTTTACTTTTATAACATGAAATAATGAAAGTCTAGCATTCCTACATTCCTAGTATTGCCTCATTCCTACTCTTTATATGTGGCAGCTTCTAATAAGGATTTTGTTTGGAAATGTTTTGCTTCTAATCTAAGCTATTACGAATGTAAATATTAAGATCATTTGGAGAATTCCATAGGATAAATCACATAATACATTGATTGCTCTTACTGAACACAACCCTCCTTATCGACAGCAATTATGTTGCAAATGCCTCAAAGAAGGGAATAAATTCTTCACCCATACAGGTTTCTGTTTCTTTTTCTATGTTTCTTTCTCAGACTTACCCAGGTAGTCCTCCAGCTTCCATTACATTAGCTAAAGTCACATCATTTGACCAGACATCATATTGCCATTTTCGGAGACCCAGGACCCCACAAAGCACCCTGCCTGTATGCAGTCCAACTCTCATGTTGAGATCAACCTCTGTGGCTTCTGCAACAGATCTGGAAAAGGCAGCATCAGAATATTAGTCTTTACACAATGACACTTCTCTTGGTTTTCTTTTTCTCTCCTTCCCCCAAAGTTAACATATATACACATGACTGAACAGACAGTATCTTTTAAAAATCTCAGATGATATAGTCAGAGACTGTTCTTTTCTTTCACTAGTTTCAAATCCCCAATTGTAATTCCAAAGAAATAATTTTCTTGGTCATATTTTAATTACTGTTCAGCCAAAATCTCAGTATTTCTAAATTTCTTAACCTAATACATGAAATTCAATTTTCCAGTTTTCAAGGAAAACCAGAAAATGTTATGTTTCATTACCTTTAATAAAATAAAAGGAAAAAAGAGGATAATATAGCAAATGTAGTAAATGGCTTTGTCACAAAACTTCCCTAAGACTATAACTTTTAGGTTTTATTTTCTACTTTTGCAGTATTTGCTATCACGGTCCTACATAAACTTAGATATTTTACTGGGGGATAAACAAATAACTTTCTGTCTGTAACTCAAATAATCAGAGACAGGCAGATTAAGTTCTGCACTTTCCTGTTTATCTTGCATCTCACATGTATTTACTTTTTTGGGGTCATAATTGTTCCTCTTCCCAATGAGCATTTATTTCAGCAGGATGACAAGTGACCACACAGTGATTGCTGGAATCAAAAGAAGATTTTTGAAACTATCTTATTAAGCTTAATTTTAACCTGACATGCACACAAGCAAACATGTTTATATTCTACCACTACTTCAGACTACTTTCAGCTCAGTATTAAATTGGCCCACCCGGCTTCTTCTTTTCACCAAAAATCTCTGTTTCTCCTTATCCTAGCCTTGGGTTTACTGGTTGGTGGGTTCTTCTCTCCCTAATTCTTTTTTACGCCCATCACTTCACTCATATAAAGACCATGCTTGATCCTATATGGGTTAACTGAATTTCATCATGAAGGAGTTTAATATTAAACACTGAGGAAAAGATTGATCTTGTGAGTGAAATATGAACTTGAGTCACTCAAGACTTGCATTTCATTTCTCTCCTCCTTTACCACAGTTGCTGTGACTCAAAGTAATTTTATCCTTTTTTAATTCTCCATCTGTAATATCAAAATAATACTTTATTTTCTTTACTCCTTTCATTTGCAGTGGCATGATCTCAAGGTAATAGTGTAAAACATTTAATTTGTAATTAAAATAATACAAAATAATCTGGAAGAAGACCATAGTATGGACCCCAACACATCCTCTCTGTGCAGCACAGAGGGTTAAAAATAATTTTAAAAAAAGTTATTGTGACAACATATATGTTGTCACAGTTTAGGTTTAAGATGTTCTCTAAGTTCACCATTTAATCACAATTTCACTTGAATAAAAACCTATTTAGTTTTAAATTAATTTCCCCCCCCCCCCCCCCCCCCGTCTTCTTGGATGATACTTAATATTTCATTATATTTTTTCAACTTATATTTTCACCTTATGCTACTGCTAGGCACCTGTTGCAACTACTAGTAATCACACAGAGCTATGCCTCGCCTTCACCTTTATGGTATGCTCAGCTAAGCATCATTTCCTATGGTAACACAGAAAGGGCACAGACATATTTAAATGCTCTTACAGTTTCTGTGAGAAAAGAGGTATGAAGAGGTACTAGTTAAGAAGGCAAATGGATAAGCAATGATTCCACTTTACTATGCTCTAATTGGTTCAGTTACCCAATTACAGAAGTACAGAACAAAGAAAATGATAAAACCAATAAATCAGTGCAAGAACAGCAGTTGAAGAGTGATTATAAACACTAATATCTTTGCAAAGCTCCTGAAAGAGTGGCACAGAAACCACCTGCAACTATGGACTTACACCTGTAAATGAAATGCAACATTCAGAGATTTTCATTGTGCAGCTGGGAAAGGAGGAATTAATTGGCAAAGTCATTATTAAAAGTATTTCTAATTTTGGTGCCCCAGTAAAGAAGGATTCTTCATTTCTGTGAATGAGGGACATGGTATAATTCACACCCTGCACTGACTTGTTAACACTGAAAAGGAGCCTTGAAGCTAATAGTCTTACACATTACATGCAGAATAACACTGTGCATAAATCTTTGCAGCTCCTTATGTGACAGAGACACCTGGCATTCCACAGTTAAGCTGCAATCCAAAAAGAGAGAATATCAGTGAATAAATGCAACTGACTAATCAGTGTAAGACTTGATTTTCATTAGGTTTTAAATTTAAATTTTCCAGTGCATTTAATAGGAGACCTTAAACTTAGGCTCTGGCTGCAGTTTTCCCTTGATCTTCACTGACCAATACGTTTTTTAAAGTATAGTCCAACTACAGCGGATTTGGCAGAGAGGTCTTCAGCAGGACTTTTCAAGTATTTCAGGAGTAGTCACTGTATCTGTCTCTTGTATAGCTGTACTCATTTAAATACAATTAACAGAAAGGGCAGCATAGGTCAAGATGTGGGGTGAGCAGCGCAAGATACCTGGCGTTAAATTAAGTCAGGAACTCTGCAGCCATGAAGTGCTGAAGTATATATCATGTCAGCCATCACTAATGTGAGTAATGTGGAGACCTCTTTTGTCCCCATAGGGAATCTGCACATACCACATTTTTCCAGTCATATTTTATGCAACAGCACAGAAAGGCTTATGCACAGGTTTCTGAAAGATTAAGTATCTCGTCCTATTTCTACTCACTGCAAGTCAGCTTTCCTTTATTCAGTATCTGCCTCAAAAATGACTCCAAGGAGTCCAAAAAGGACTCAAGTGTTACAGGGTTTGTTGTGCACACTGTCTGCTTGACAAAGCCTTGAGGAAATGAAAGCAGCTACTAATATAAGCCACCTAATGATAACTTAACCTTTGTATCTTCACCTGTGCCATTAACAGACTGACCTTACACCAAGACCATACCCTGCAAGCCAAAGCCCTTCAGGATTACACCCTGCTTGCCCATCCATGTTCTCCTGCATAACTAAGTACCTATGTAATTATCTTCATTGGCAAACCTGCAGACATGTGAGCTTCTCTATTTGCAAATGAATGTTATTTTTTTTTTTTACCCATTAAAAACAGTATATAAAGCCTCAGGCTAAATGTAAATGGAAAGAGTGAAATTCAGACATTGATAAAGACCACTCCAGACCTTTGACCTTGCTTTGCCACAACTAGATTGAGAAAGGGGGAAATTTAATCGGCTTTTAAAATTTGAATAGCATAATAAAAAGTAAGTGAAAATAAATGAGCAGAGAAATACAACATGGCTGATCGTACTCCTACTTAAATATGCTGGACTGTATAATGTACCAATGAATCATGAAGCATAATCTGAAAACACTTTGTGTTTTGAACAAAAGATTTTCAGAAGTAGTCAGTAAAAAATATAAATGAAGAATACATTTTTACATTTTTCCCAGAAACTACAGTGTGTTTCATGGGTGCTTTCACCATTATTAAAACTGAGTAGGAAAAAAAGCTCATGAACAGTTCACTAAACCTTTAAAATTTACTTTGAAGACCTGTGTGCCCTTTATGCAGTTCGTTTACATAAATATACCCCACTGATCTATCAAAAATGAGGAATGTTAAGGAATATATAAAGAATAGGCTTTAAATACACAATCAGAGCAGCACCACAGCCGTAATCCCAAATAAAATCAACATTTCTGCACTAAAATATCACAAAAGTGTCCAATGATGCATTTTAAATTATAAAAACATTTCTGAAAAAACACCAGCACTTCACAACCAAGCCATGAATAGAAAAATAAAATAAGTTTCTCAAATAAATTATTCATCATAACTTATTCTCTCCTAAATTCAGATACAATATACTCAAGAGTTTTCCAAATGTTAACACAGAAGTAGGCCCAGAAACAAATGGAAATTGAAAAACATTTTCTTTCTAAACTAGAAGCATGCAGAGTCTATGTAAGTGACTAATAAGATAATGATCTACCCTGACAGCTCAAGTATCCTACCAAGCCTTTAAAGTTTAGTTCTCCTTAGCTATAAATATTTCATGGGCTGCTACAAACCATCAAAGTCATTTAGATCATCTGCAGAACGGATCCAGACCTGTGCTGCATATGAAGGGGAAAAAAAAAGCTCTGCCTCCCATTTCTTATAAGTTATTTAGGGCTTTTCTTTAGGTCCAAAATTATCTGTGTAGAATTAGATGTTTCCCAGTTAAAGGCACAGACAAGATTCTTCATTCAGTTACATACGTTTGCTTTTTAGATACGCATCGTTGTAAGGCAAGGGTGGCCTTCAATTTTGCATGTCTCTCTAAATATTTCTGTGCCAGTTCCATTCCAACTACATTTAAGAATTGGTCGGTTCATGGATGTTAATGACAGAAACTATTTTTCTGTGAACCTGTCTGTCAGACTGTCAGGGCACAGGAGGAGAGGCCATGGCCTAGAGCACCAAGCAGCACCTGTACACCAGGCCCCCTTGCCTCCTCCCTGTTTGTCTTCCCACGAGGCAGGGGCCATGATAGGCCTCTCAGTCAATTTTTTGTTGTCTGAAGACCTTCGCTGTCCTGTTCCAGCAGCTGTTTTTCTAGGTCAGGAGTGTTTTGTTTTTTTTTTTTGTTGTTGTTGTTGTTGTTGTTGTTGTTGTTGTTTGTTTATATGCTTTTTTGTTTGTTTGTTTTTGTTGTTTGTTTGTTTGTTTGTTTTAAAATACTGGCCAGAGCTGCAAGCTTTCCTCAGTGGTAGACAGCTTCCTCTGCTGCTGAAAATGCAATTGCTGTTTCTCCTAGAATTCAAGGTCAACTCACTCCTGCTAATCCAAACTTTCCCATATCCTGGACCTCTGGAGGACCAGAGGAAAAAATATTGACAGTGATGACATCAGGAAAGTTAGTGCTTCTACCTTCTTCCTCGGACAAAAGATCAGAGAAGGGAAACTTGACATTTCAGTTAGGCTTCCTCAAACTGGCTACCGTAGTTCTCTTCCCCAGTACCTTTGGACAGGCGAGAACCAAACCCATAGGAAGGAGACAGTTCAAGCATCAACCTCCACAATGTCCCATGCAACCAAGCAGCAACACAACGTGCAGGTGCAAAATAAGCCTAACTTCTATCTATGAGGTTTTACATGAAAGACTGGTGGAGTCATCTATATTAGATGGAGTCATCCCTCTGGGATAAACTCACCTATGTGACACAGAGAAGAGCTGACAGACCCCACTGGGGGTGCCTGGTTTTCAAGAAGCAAAGGTTCATGGACACTTGCCTTCAGACCTTTTCAAACCCCACATGCAGTAGCAACATTTAATTCAGGGGGCCAGACGAGACCTATTCTATAGTAACCCTCCTCCCCTCTCCCCCATAATATATTTATGTTAAACTTAAGTAGTCAGCAGCAGTTGTGATGTACTGATGTGTTCCTACTGTGCCATGCTACCTGCTAATGCAGACATAACCAGTGATGCAGCTAGCGGTGCAATTCCCGCTGAGTCAGTACTAAAACGGCATCCTGGTAAGATGTCAAGGGCAGGAGTATCGTGAAAATGTACCATTTATATGACGACATGAATGATTATGGGATCCCATTACACTTTTGACAAGTTTATGAATGTCAACCCCAGTATTTTAGCCCAGTCCCAAATCGAGTATTTAAATCCTGCTTACCTAGATTCTCTCCTCATTTTCAATTGGAAACATTACAGTTCACTTCTTGCCCTGTGAATTTATCAAGTGCATTTTAAAAACTCTCTAATTTCATCACATTTAATCTCCTAAGAGGTTACATTTCTGGACTGAGACAAAAAATTGTTTAATATAATTGATATCAGTTGATGAAGTGCTCTGTAAGGAAAGATGAACTATTATTAAGAATGTATAAAATTGCCCTTGTAATACTACCTTAAACTAGAACTCTATCCAGTTTATGGAGGAGAGAGGGAAGAGCTTAGATAGCTGGGCAAAACTTTCCTACATGGAAATTAGCTAACAAATATATCTATTTAGAAGGTAAAATACTGCAGTAAGTAGAGTGGAACCTTCAAAAGTGGCATGCAATTTAATTAAGGTAAAGAGTGGACTTGGCCTAACACACTGATCAAAACCAAGGTGAGGACAACATCTGCTACATTAGAGCAACATCTGGCACATCAGAGGCACTAATGAACATGTCTATTTAAATTATATTACTAACAAAAACCTGATAGTTAAAATTCACCTGATGAAAACAACATCGGAAGTATACAACACTTAACTCCCACTTAAATACTGCCATGATGGTTTAAGTCACTGTGAACTAGAATAAACACCTGGCCTGTATCAAGTACTGACACAAAACTCATTGTCAACAGAAATTCTTTTGGAATAGAAACAGAATATAACATTATCTGTTTTGTTGGGGTTTTTTTAAGAAAAAAAAAGATCCTCCTATAATGAATCTAGTCTGACTTTAACTGTGCCATTGAAAAAAATACATTGTAGAAGGCAGATGAAATTTTGAAAATTTTAAGTATTTTATAATATTCTTTGAAAAATACTCTGAAAATCTCAATCAAATTGTAATGAGGCAATATTCTCAGATGATACTCACACGCAGCATCATATTCTATGATACTTAAATAACAGTTAGACAGAGCATTAAGATAATAGAAAGTATCAATTTATATGAACTCATCATAATATTCAATTTATACAAATCCCAGATCCATCAGCCAGACACTAGAAGTTTCTATTCCTTGATTTCCTGGAAGAAGCACATCTTGGTGATACATATCTCTGGGAGAGGCACTTTTGATAGATACATCAGATGAATCACAATTCAAGTGGTATTATTTATCCCAAGTAACATGACAAACTTGTCACTAGGAATGAGAACTTCCAAGCATAGATTTACAATGTCAAGACCTGATTTCTGCAGAAAAGTGAATAGACTTTTAGAACATAGCTGGAATCCAACTCTGGATGAAAGAGGGAAGTTTAAAAACAAAAGTGACTATAAATCTCATAAGACTCATAAGCAACATCTAATAATCATACCAATAAAAAATAAAATGTTGCATTCCAACTTTACCATCATAAGCTCTTCACTTCTCCTTTTCATTTGCTCAACGTGTTTTCAAACAAATTAATCTGGGGAATCCATCTTCTAACTTTGGTCTCTGTGAAGGAGTGAAGCGTTTTTTCCTAATCTTCAGCAGAACCTATTTTCCTGGTTTGAAGGTCTTTGTGCAGTTGGCTTAGCCACATACTTCTGTCAGCAGAAGAACCTCATCCAGAATCCAACAATATCTGAACGAATGATGCTTCATTTGGAGTAAAAGAAAAAAAATAGCACTGCCATCAAGGGCAAGGGTACTTGGAATGCATCATCTTCCTGTATCTTAACATAAGCAGAACAGGAATATTCATTTAACTAAGAGAAGAAATATATGTTGAGCCTGGATCTTACAGTCCTTACTCACACTACTACTTCCTCATTGAAGAAAAAAAAAAAATGTGGATTCATTAATTATCCTTGTGTACAAAGGATGCAGAATAGGTCTCTATCCATTTAGCAACCCTATATAAATCGGGCACTCTTATCCATCTTGCCCTCTCACTGTGCTCTGACCACTGACTACGCTAAAGACTTACAATTTATGAATTCTTTAAAAAATAAAATGCTGAAACTGTCAGTTATCTTTTACCACAACCTCTGAATGAACATGTCTAAATAACATACTACATCCATTGTATTTCACTTTGTGCCCATTTCCTCTTGTCCTGACACTGGATACCACGGAGAAAAGTTTGGCTTTGTCCTCTTTACACCCTCCCATCAGGTATTTGTATGCATTAGTAAGATTCCCCCTAAGCCTTCTCTTCTCTAGGCTGAAGAGTCCCAGTTCATTTTTAATTTGACTCCTTTTTCAAGTTTACAGTATGACAGCAGCCAAAAAATAATAACATAAAAAGGGAACATGTTTCATTTCCAATATTAGTAAAACTGAAACATTCAAAAAAAGGAAGTTCAGACAGTTCTATCGCTACCTTATTTGTATACATGAAACACAGCACAACTACTGAATTAATGATTACTTCTAGGTTTAAAAGAGGATGAGAGCATCAGCTACTGCTTTTGAGGGATTAAAAAAAAAAAACTTTGGAAAATGTGTACAAGGTCTGTATATCTAACTATGCTTCTACAGGCCAAGGCTTCATTTTAAATGGAGTATCCATATGCTGATGGAAGAATGCACATATAAATAATTTGCAGGCTTAGAATATTCTTCTAGGATTTTACAGTATCATAGACCATCATATATTATCACAGATTACAAAGTCTTTTATCAATTTTACAAATGTTTACAAACACGATGAACTTGCATTGAATAAGAGGGAGAATATAGATTCATTTACCCAACTCTTCACACTCTGAAAGATTTTACAAATGAACATTATAATAAAAACGAATGGATTGACCTAGAAAGGAGAATCAGCCTTCAATTGCTTTAAGTACTTCTCTCCTTTTTTCTGTGCTTTTGAGTCCTCTGTAAAGAAAGCTCAATGAATCCAGGCTCACAGAAGAGTTTAAGGTTCATATGAACCAACAAAAATGTGTGGTAATGTCCACGTTCTCCTAAGGCATTAGCAGGGTTTGAACAACTGGCCATTACTTCTGTAGAGATAACCATGATAAATTGCGTGAGCAAAACCTACAGTGAACTCTGGTAGAGGATCACAATACTCATTCTTCTACAACACTAAGACTCTCCAGAAATAAACTCTATTTGGTTTTGGAAAAACAACTTCTTTGTGTGAATATATGTGCATAAAGATCCTCACATACAAATGGAAGATGTTAGATACATGATGTGGCAAAATCTTTATTAGAAACAAGAAAGAAGGTGAAATGTTCGAAATAAAAAATGCATAATTTGAACTCTTAAGCCTTATGTTTGCTTATTTTATAATATTTTTCTTTATTTAATAGCTTACTATTCATTTTAAAATTGAGGTTACACTGTGCTCTATTCACCCTCAAAGAGAAGGCAGGTCTTCTCTGTTTAAAATGCAAATACTTGGGGATTAGCTGAGAGGAAGCAGAACCTCGAGTCAACTCCATATTCCCACAGTCCAGCTGACAACAGATAGAAAGAATAACTTGCTACTGGAAACAGAGGTCAAACACTTTGCAGTATAGAACAGGATAAGGCCCCTGATGTGACACACTTGTGCAAGCTCATTCCAAATGTAATAGCACTGTGCTGACCAGTACATATGTACGTACAGAATTAATACAGGTGTGCACTCCCTCCTGTAGCCCTCCTATAAAACACACACACACACAGAGCAATGCAGGAGTGAAGACACTTCCCATCTTTATCTCTTCCCTCCTATGTCATGAAATAGATCTCCAGCTCTTGCTAAAAAGCTCATTCACAGTTCTCTCACATTCACATTTTCTGCCTTGGTAAAATAATGATCAACGCAGAGCTCTCAAGCACAAAAAAAATCTTCTGATCAGCAAAGTGAATTTCACATTGTGTTTTTGAAAAGCGGAATATATTAAAGGTTTAAACAGGACATACAGAACGGAGAAATCAGCAAGCTATCATTTTGAGAATACAAAGACATATACAACATGCATACATCAGGACTGGCTTTGAGTTTACATGCTGATGTGCAAAATGAGCAGTGTTTATCACCGTACAATAAGAAATTGGACTCCTTTCCTTGTGGCAAATAGCAATAGGAATATTTCTTTATTTCCCAGTGTCTTTCTGTCCCCTAATCAGTACACATATGTTCCTCTACATACTCATACTTGTGCAGTTTTTCCTCACAGAGATTAAATGGAGTGGAAAATTGATGTCTAGAGTGACCCTTCCTAAAGCAAAGATCCTATGACCTGAGTGCAACAGTGTGAATCGCTAGGTGGGCCGTGCTAGCAGACACTCATGTTTTTCTGAGAACACACTTCCCGAATGCCCCACGGAAGCTGTTGTAGCACTCCTGTCCTGGTTCACCATGAGCAGTACTTACGTGATGGTGTCAATCATATCCAGTCCCATTTCCACGCAGCAATGGGCATGATCTGTTTTGGGCTGAGTCAATCCTGATACACAGTAGTAACAGTCCCCTAGGATTTTGATTCTTCTGCAGTGGTTTTCCTTTAATAAAAACAGAATGAGAAAAGTTTTACTATTGATATAAATATTCCAATATTTACAGGATAAAATCTTCACTAATACTATGCAATCATTCAGAGAATCCTTTTGTGGTCAAATGAAATAATCTACAGTTCATGAAATCTGGGTTCCCTGTACAGAACAGCTGATATACACATATTTGTTTATTTATTTATTTATAAACACACACACATATACTGGAGTTCAGCCCTGCATTGTTCGACACACATAGGGTAACACACTGCTTAAAACTATAATTCTGAACAAATTCCCTTGCCCTCATATTAGGTCAGTATGAATTCAAGATTTGCAATGAGACTTCATTTCTGTATGAATTCAAACCAAAGGACTGAAGCCAAAGTACTACTGAGTATCAGGAAATGTTTGTGTTCTGAGAAGCTTTTGTTTCAAATCCAGTTCCATCTTACCAGGAAAGGTGGAGTATTTGTCTGTAAAGGTACACAGGTTTGTATATTACTAATTCATTAATCAAAATCTATAATACAGCATGATTAGTGTAAATATGACACACTTGCAGACCAGAAGATATAGTCAGTTTGCATTACCATCAAATTTATCTCCTGTTTGCATACAGTTTAATTTCTACGGTCAAAGAGATCTGTCTAAAAATCTCCCATTCTGAAAAAACAATGATGGCATGTGACAATTGCTACACTGGTCTGAGCAGAAAGTTAATTTCTGAACAGAGACCATATAAAAAAATGCCTTTAACAAAGCAGTGCCTTTACCAATAAACTATGAGGAGATGACTGTATCCTTTGCAGCTAGACTATGGCAACTTCTACCCATTTAGAGTACAGCACAGAAAAGTAAATAACCTGATTAAATGAATCCAACGTACACAGCTGGGACTATGCTAGTAAGTGCCATGGAAGATTAGCTGTTGTGAATATGATGAGAGAGGATTAACAAAAACCTGATTCCTCCCTCTGCAGTGTGCTATATAGACTTGACCTCAGTGGCACAAAGAGAGGGCAGTGCAATGGGTGCAATTTAAAATTTCTGAATATTACCTAATCGTACTGATTCAGCTTCTCATACGGGCACATACTCTCATCCTGCCTCCTGCCTACAAGAACCAAAGTCTCCCTGAACTGACCACGCTCTCCAGGTCATTACGGGCACTCCAGCCCAGAAGCGATGCTCATGCCTGCAGCGAGCCCTTTCCCTCTGACATGTCATACACCAGCATTCGGGGCTTGTTACTGCACACTCTTCCAGCTGCAGGCATTCCTATGCCTGCTGTCTTTGTAAATGTTTCTGAGTATTGAACAAATATCATGAAACGAGAATTACCTCTGTTCAGGCATGGAGGAAGGCACGCTAACACTGTTTGGTCTACTTCTTTTTCTAAATTAAGCAGTAAATTTCAATCTTGAATCAAAGAAGAGAGCCATCTTTTTGGGTATGCTTAACTAGTAGAAACGGCTTTTCTAAGAGTGACTACTTAACATTTCTTCTGCTGTACAGCAGGATTTTAAAAATATCACTAATTATCATTGCTAATATATTTTAATGAATGTAAGCATGATTATTCTAGAAGCATTATCACCAGGGTCTTAGAGTATTCCCTCACCCTGTAGCCACAAAACGCCTTACCAATTTTACTCCGAGTTTTAACTGGGTATTCTGAGATCCTTGGCTAAATGGTATTATATAAGTAAAATAGTTATTGATGCACACAAAGTAATATGCAGACCTCAAAATATATCCTGACACAAAACAGGCCTTCCAACTCAAGGTTTTTGGACAGAAACCACTAAGTTTTTAAATAGAAACCACTAAGATTTTTAGTAGAAACCACTCACTAACTTTGACTGCCAAAATAAGCCTTTTTTTTTTTTTTTTTTTCCCTAAATTGTGGGCAATCTTGAAGCAGCAGAGGGTACTCAGTAGTTAAAGCTGGAACTTACTTTCCAAAATAAATCCAGTTTTAGTCCACCTTTCAATCTTCTATAAAGCCCTTTTCATCTTCAAATTTGGTATGCATGATTTGTGGCCAGGCAATGACTATTTGACCCAGCTGAAAGTTATTCAGAAAGGCCATTTCAGTAACCCGGGGTGGACAATAAGTATGTGTTAATCGATCAGTGTTCTCTCCTATTCAGTGTCTACCTCCAAAATGGCTCATTTCTAGTGACTTATTTTTCTTAGGCAGCTTACTGTGCTATAGAGCAGTACTGCACATTTTATAACAGGATACACAAAATTACTGTCAGACTGGCACAGCACAGTCTAGGAGCATGGCAGATAGTTTAAGAAAGGAAAAGAAAATCAGAACAGAGCTTGATCCATTACCATCTTTCCAAGTCAGTTTATTACTTGTGCAGGATAAAAAAAAAAAAAAAAAAAAAAAAAAAAAAAAAAAAGAGAAAGAAAATATGGACTACAGCATTTTCTGGAGAGGTATTAGTTCTGATGGAAGACATATGGCTAAATCACCTGCTGTTTTTGAAACCATCACTCTGTTCCTTATCAGATGGCATCTTCACTGTCCTTATTTATAATAATCAATTAATATACTGTAATCTCTAGAAAAATTGTTTGCTTTCTTTTTCTCAACATATGAGTCAGACTTCCAGGAATGAGATGCAGTGCAGTTTTGTTACAGCAATCTTTTTAAGGATTGATATGCAAATCAGCAAAAAATCCCCTTTCCCTCTCTTTGTTTTATCTCCTCAGCAACTCCCAAAGAAGCCCTTGACTCAGCAATATTTTTCACATTTGTGAATGGTGATGAATTCAAGTGTGATAGTTACAAATTCTAGTCACAGCAATGGCTGCTTAGGAACAGCTGATAACTTGGTTTTATGCACGGGATAAAAAGCACCAGAGATTGCTAGCGCTGCATTAGCCAGGCAGCTTGCCCACCTGCAGTGCCTCGCGGAGACGTTCCCAAGCAGATCTGCAGAATTCCCCCTGGCACAACTGTCGCTCACAGGGTTTCTCAGCGTGAGGTGGAAGCCCAGTTCGGAAAGCAGAGGACACTTCGAAGTTGCTAAGAGCTTTCATTATACTTTCAGACAAGCATTTTATAAAGCAGTTCATTCTGTTAGGTAGAACGGGGCTGGAGGAGGCCCTTCTGTTTCAGACATCTCTGGGTTTTTGTTGTTGTCGTAGTTAAATGGATTTTGCAGAAAGAGTGAAGTCTGCCAACTTATTTGGACCATTAATTCCATATTCTTCCCATACATTTCAAATATTATTCTGTATACTCAGGATAAGGTTGGGGTTCTTTTAATAAAATGTAAAGAGAAAAGAATTTATGGTTTGTTAAAAAAAAAATAATAAAATGTTGTCTGAAAGAAATAACAAGGTTTAAGGAGCTTTCAGACCTCTCCCAGCAGAATGAATAATCAGACAGCTAGGTGTTCTCTGGAACAGAGAGGTTGTACTGGAGGAGTGCAAAGGCTTTTAAAGGAGGATCTTTCTTCTCAAGTGTCAGATTGTGACAATACTTATTGTCACTGCTGGATTTTTTGGTTTTGTTTTGTTGTTTTATTTATTTTTTTTTTACAGGCTATCCAAGTAAGTAATCATTCGTTACATGAATAGATCCAAAGTTGGGGATGATCAGTACAATATTTTCATTTCTTGTAACACTGTCTGGCAGGAGAAGAGCCTTTTAAAAGCTCTTATTTATTTTAGAGATGGTAGATGCTAATGCAGGAAAGAGTCCCTGCTCTGCCTTCTGTTACTGCAACAATCTATGTATTTCTACATGCTCATGTGTCATCATGGTATGTGAGTACCTATTGAAGTGAGCCAAAAAGGAAGGTCAGATAGATTACAGTTTTAAAAAACAAGATTTTAAAAGCTAAACATTGAATTTCTGTCCCTCATAACTCCACTAACTGCAGTGGAATTACACCAAGGATGGGTCTGACCCTATGTGACTCAATTATAATATATTTTATGCATATTATACACATCCATCTCTTTTTCTGCAAGCCTGCTAGCAACCTGATTTGCAGGTGTGTTCTTCAGACTTTTACTGTCCTGTCCTCCTGGATTTACCAATTTATGAGTAGGAGGGATTTTATTCATCCATATATTCTGAAGACACTTTTTTGCCATACCTACTAATAAAACCTGCCTCAGCTAAGGTACATAAAAAGATTCTTTACCATATTGAGACAATTCGGATTTAGTTATGCTGTGCAAAGTAAGAGTAAAGCTTAATAAGGCCTACAAAAAGATGCATAAGTAGTGATTCCCATTCCCCCTAACTCTGACCCTAGCAGTCTTACACTCTCCTAGTATACTCTTGAACATGAGCAGTAGCATGTAACTAAAAGGTAAGTTAATACAGTAAACTTAACAGTAACTAAAAACATTTAGTTTTGTTCAGGCTAGAAAAAATGTGAACAGGAGTTTGGTCACTACCTATGATGCTTAGGGATTGCAAAGCTAGAGTCTTTAAAAAAAAAAAAGAGAAAAGAAAACCAAAAGAAAACCAAAACCAACTTACGTCCCTGTTCGGCTATTTAAGTGTTGGGGTAAAAGGGAGGAGATCTATTAGGCCTGGACGTGCACTGAAGGCTTTACTCTCTCAGGGGAAGGCTGTGGCAACCTCACCAAACCTCAGACTTCAGCATTAGTGAGACCTCTGGATATCGCCCCTGAGTAGCTGCAAATTAGTGCAAGAGCAGCGCTGCCTGCAGCAGAGAAGTGGCAGGAGATGCACTGGCAGCACTGTGAGCAGCGAAACTGTTTGAATATGGGGAGGAAAAAAAACATCCCTGAAAAAATAGCTGTTAGCTCAATGTTTTCTTCTCATATTGAAGAGGAGTCTTGGGAAGAGGGCAGCCACCAAAATGCAAATCTCTGATGGGTCAGTTTTCACCGCGAGTAGAATGGATTCTGGGGTGGGGGGCAGTGGAGAGCTACGAGGGCTGAAGAAGCCCTCTCCTGTCCCTGCCACTGATGGAAAGAGCTTCGTCACTGGGCCAGGCAGTGCC